TTTTTTTTTTTTTTTTTTTTTTTTTTTTTTTTTTTTTTTTTTTCTTTTTGAGAAAATAAGACCCTGGATCCCACAAAACACTTAAGGTTGGGAGGAACCTTGGGAGATCATCTGTTCTAACTTCACTCCCACCAGAGTCAGCTTGAACAGATCACCTGAAAGCATGTCCAGTCAGGTTTTAGAGATCACCAAGGGTGGAGACTCCATAACCCTCTGGACAAGCTGTACCAGTGTTCAACCATTCTCACAGTAAAAAAAGCTTTTTCTTATGTTTAAAGAGAATTTTGTGTGCTTGAGGGTATGCTCACTGTCTCTTGTCCTGGACTAGACACTGCCAAGATGAATCTGTCTCCATTCTCTTTACTCTGCCCCCACACTGATCCCTCCCCAAGCCTTCTCCAATTCCAGGTCTCTCTCAGCTTCATTAACAGGTGCTACAAATCTTTAGCCATCTTAATCATGTTCAGTATGTTAAAATACTCCTTTTTTTTAATCGGCTTGAAAATTTGTGCAGTTCCTTTTCCTGTTTTTGGTGTGGTTAAAACAAACCTAATCTCCATGACCTTTGCTGGATTGCCTGTTTTCTTATTGTCTAGTTTGATTTTAATAGTTTCTGCCAGGCAGTAATCACCCTCAAGGAAACTACCAAGGTGGCAGACTATTCAGGGCAAGAGTTCAATTTACAGCTGAGGAACAGCAGATACTGCTCAGTACTGTTACAACACTTGCACCTGTTTGAGTTGGAGCTGATGGGCACACAGGGGCTGTGTTTTGAAAAGCAAAAAGCTAGATGTTGTGAAAGCACTGCCTTCAGAAAGGCTAAGTGGCTGACATGTTCGCTTTGGAGTGTTTCTCCAAGGAGTAACAGACTTTTGTCCAAGTTATGGGCCACTCAGTTCACTCCCTATTTTGGGCAGATGCCTTGCATTGCACAGGGAACACAAGTTATTTGGATTCATCTCCCATTTAGAAATGAGGATACATCCAGTTCTTTCCTGCTTGTCAAAGACATAATTTCCCTGAGTTTTCCACAAAATTCACTACCAAATTTCCTGCAGCAGGCCCTGGCAGTCCTGTAATATCAGGAACAATGGAGACTTGCCTGCTCTTGGTGTTACTTTGGAAGATGTATCACACCAGGCCAAATGCATTTGGTTCATTTTAAGTAGCACTAATTCTATAAAAACACTAGACTAATGTAATTTCTTGACCAATCTAAGGCAATTTCTATTAATTTGCTTTCCTAGAAGATTTAGGAGCAAAGGACCTTATTTCAGTAACTTCTGAGAAACAATCACTGCATCTCTTTGGTTGGTAAGGCCCACAACCTTCCATCCAGCAGCCAGACCAGCTGGGTCTCACAAGGTGCTGCTGGAAAGTGGAAGATGGTAAGTGATATCCTGGCAGCTCAGGAGACTTCTCTGTGAGGATTAGTTAAAAAACACCTGTGTAATTCAGTCTGTATGCTGGCATTGCAAATTAATTGAAGAGATGGGGCACACTGCTTTCAATGCATCACCAGCTTAACTGTGATTCTACTTTTACAAGCAAGCAAAGACTGAATATAATTAAGTTCTGTGTTTACAGGAAAAAAGATAATCCTTTCAAGTAGTTCCTCTCCTAATTTTGCAATAATGACTCTGGTCCTATATGCTCTGCTTCACTTTGACGAATCCTACCCTTTTCTTAATTAGGAGAGATTTTTATCACATCCATCTGTACTTTCTTTTTTTTTCCCCTGACTGTATTTATTAATCCAAATGACAGCTTAATTCAACATCTGTACTGTGAAAAACTCTACAGTGGAAGCATATTGCTTTAGTATGGAAAAGACTTTGGATGCATTTTATATTTGCAGCACATATTGAACAAATGCGTGATTCAGAAAACTAAAATATCAGTAATCCTGCTAATGGGCATTTGCCAAAGCACAAAAAACAAAAGATCCATCAGCTGTTCAGAAAACAAAATTTTATTCATTGTAAAGTTCCTGAAACAGTAAACACCTTATCAGAAGTACAATGAACTGGCACTATTTCTTTAAAATGTTGAACTGTCTTCCAGGAGCAACACCTGAAATATTCAAGAGAGATCTTAAGCCACAAAGTAATGTGATGCAAGGCCCATCTCCCTCCCCATCCCTTGTGAGCACTACCAGTGGAGAACGGGCAGAACTTTTATTTGCATTTGTGACCTATCAGCTCTCAAGGGGGATTCAGGGGGTAGATCACAAACTGGAATTCACCTTTTGTATTTAGAGACCTGCACACAAAAATGTGACATGTGAGACAAATC